CAACCTTCTAGAAGGACTGCAGCTAGCCTTCTAGTCTATAGGTCTACGGATCGAATCCTGGCTACCTATAGACCTACGACAGACCGACCTACCACTGGCGGTTCTACAGGTCGCAGGTTCAACTCTTCGAGTTGACGCAKGTATTGTACACAGGTAAGTTGGGGAACTAGGGATCGAGCCCTGGGATCTACCTTAGCTACCACGAATTGGTGAATACCGTTTCACATGTATTAAAAAATCACTTATACCTAGACTTGCTTTTCCTTTTCCTGTTCCAATCTTCCCAGATCAATGTCCTAATGTGATCTAAGATCCATTGCAACGTAGTTGCATCAGAGTAAAACTTCCTCTTGAAGAGCCTATCATTTCTAAGTTTCCAAATCACATTCATGATATCCCACTCTATTTTACATTTTGAGAAGCAAGACCAGTGGTATTTCCACCATTTCCAAATTCTGCGTGATTCTATACACTCCCACCACAAGTGCACCACTGACTCCTGCTTTTCCCGCAGCGGGCACAACTAGTTTCCACTGGCATGTTCTTCTCAGCTAACCACTCTGCAGTAGGGATGGCTCTGTGAGAGTGGAGCCATAATAAGCTGACTAATTTAATTGACGGAATTCTCTGTATGGCTTCCCAGATACCAGTCAGATTCGAGGACAAGATTTGACTTCTAGGTACCCCTTCTGAGTTTTTCTCTGCATTCCATTTGCTTTTAGTCACTAGAGGGGTGGCCCAGCTCTGAACCTGTCTGTTATAACCGACCTTAGGGGAGTAATCTAGTAGTGTGCAGGTACTTCTGCCTTCATGGTCTGACCACCCCCAATGCAGCGACATGACTCTCAATCTACTGATAGGAATGTCCCCCAGAGGGCATAGATACTTGACCCCGATTTTAGTTGCCCCTTAAGAGTTCTCACCAGAACCTGTTTTGTGTCCCCATTAAGGAGGGCGGTCTCCAATTCCACTGCAAGAGAGATTGTTAATTGCCCGTTCTTATTCTCCTGAATCAATCCTCTGGCGACTGTGGCAACTCTACCGTCCTTTACTTCCTTAATCAGACGGAGACACCCTGGTTGGTTCCTCGTACTATCTAATACCCATTTACCTTCATAGGACTCTCACTGACTTGTCAGCATCACCTTCCAACCCATCGGGATGCTCTTGATGATCTTGTCTAGTCTTAAACCTACCAGCCTCATATGCTTGAGTTTTGATCTGATTTCCACTTCAGACCTCCAACAGCCCGCATCTGCATTCCAAATATCTCTTATGCGCGAAACCCCCTTCTGTATCCAACCCTCTCCAAAGGCTCCGGTCTCAATGCCTGCGGACCAGGGAATTCCATCCTCAACGCATAGCCAAGTGTTTTCAAAGATGTGTTGTTGCAACACTTCCTCTGCCGAGGATGGGCTAGCGATCTGTTCTGGCATAACTTTAGCCCAAGCTTTCAGAATGTTCGTCCAGACTATGGACTTGATCCTTTTTTTGACAAAAGACTTAGTCAAGAGACAGACCCCCACATCCTCTTCCCTGACTAAACTCGACTCTCTAGAAAGTATCATTAGCGCTAGATCTAGCCATGGGTGGCCTGATATGTCCAGCAGCGCTTTTATTGGCCATCTAGCTAATAAGGCATTTATCTGCTGTTCTGGATTTACTATCCCCAAACCACCAAGCTCTTTCCCACCTATTACTTTCTCCCAGGATACTTTGGCCAGGTACCCCTGATTATCATCAAAGGAACCTTTCCATAARTATCTTCTCGCTGCTTTGGTGATTCGATAGTATGCCTCCTTTTCTAGCGGTCTGATAGATCCCGGGAACCAACAGCTTGAAAAGACACTCATATTGAGAACCAGGGCTCTTCSTTGGATAGATACCCCCGGGACTGATGCCACTTTTTCCAATTTGGAGAGCACTTTCCCTTCAATCAGATCGCTGGCATTTCTCCTTACATCTACTATACCAACTTGCACTCCCAAAAATCTTTCACTTTCCTGAGCCCCCAGGCATTTCAAACCCCAATCCACACATAGTTTTTGATCCTTGTGCACAATAGCCACAGATTTGGGCCAGTTGACCAGAGCCTCGGAGAACAGAGAGTAGAGATCAAGACATTTTTTGAGCGCCCCCAGGGAATCCGATGAATTTAACGATAGCGCAAATAAATCATCAGCCATGGCTGAAGCCTTGCACTGTCTACCGGAGCCCAGACTGATACCTTTAATCTCAGGATTACCTCTAATAGCGGATAAAAGGACTTTCATCTGAATTACAAATAAAAGGGGGGCTAGGGAACACCCTTGCCTAAGCGAACGAGACAACTTGAAGGTATTCGAGATTTCCCCATTGACCATCACACTCCCCACCCCTTTTGTGTACAGCGCTGTGAACCAACGGCGGAATATTTCTCCGAAACCTGCCACGGTGAGGGTGTTGAGGACAAAATCCCAGTTAACCCTATCATACGCCTTCTCGAGATCGAATAGCAAGGCAACTATTTCTGGTTGGTCGTCATTCATGACCTCTAGGGCCTCAATTGTCAGCAAAACATTATTTAAAATGTTTCTACCTCTAATGAAACCCGCCTGTTCTACCCCTATGAGACCTGGGAGGTATCTCTTAAGTCTCAAGGCCAGTGTTTTGGCTAGGATCTTATAAGAGGTAGTAAGAAGGGATATTGGTCTCCAATTTCTAATGTTCCTCTTGTCTCCCTTCTTATATAACAGGGAGATGATGCCCAGTCTTGAGGCCTCTCCCAAGTCCCTTCCTTCCAACAGACCATTGTATATGTCTACCAATTCGCTTCCCAGCTTGTCCCAAAAAAGTAAGTAGTATTCCACTAGGAGACCGTCGCTGCCAGGGCATTTCCCTTTGGGCATGCTTTTTGCTGCCACCCAGATCTCCTCTACAATGACTGGTCTGTCCAGGTCTAATTTGGCATGTGTAGGTAAGCGGGCATCAAAGGTTTTCAACAACTCTCTTTGGAGAGGAATTTCCGATGACGCAATGGTCTTCGGGCGGGATGTTCGGAATATGCTCTCGAAGTATAATCGAGCATACTCAAGGATCTGAATGGTATCCTTTGCCACTGGCTCAAATGCATCAAAAGGGTGACTTAATTCCACTGTCACTGAGTTTCCTTTTTTCCTTGAAAATCTATTGAAATTTTCCTTGGTCATTCTATTTCCCACCCTAATCCATTTGATCCTTGCCCTTTTTGCCCATACGTTCTCCCTCCGAATCTGGATGTTTTCTAATTTATCCTTCAATGCATTTCTTTGGTTAAGCCAAAACCCATCCCATGCAGGAACAGATCCCAACTTGCTTTCAACCCATTCTATCTCCGCAATTAGCGTTTGTTCTTCTTTTTTCTGATTGGTTGCTTTGATTCTGGAGGCGAAACTAAAAGAGGCGGCCAYCGCTCTGTTTCCTGCATCCAGCCATTCCCCCCCGCTCTCGAAGTAGGATTTATTTTCTTTCCACTTTCTAAGGAGGCCATGGATCGAGCCCACCAGCGATTGGTCACTCAGGATAGTGGTATTTAGTCTATAATACCCTCGGCCTCTTTTAATTCTGCTGTCTGGAATGAAAGTGGCCAAWACCGGCCTATGATCTGAAAGGGTCTCGAAGGGCATGACTATCTCTAATACCTAATCTGCTGGATTCCCTTTCAATAGAAAGTAGTCGAGCCTAAGTTTGGTGTGAGAGCCGTCAGATCTTGCTTTGTTTGACACCCATGTGAAATTAACCCCATCTGGATGCAATACCCTAAAAGGGTCCATCAGTTCCTRAGATTCCATGAAACAGTTCATAGCCCTTGAATCTTGTCTCAGAGGGTCGATCGCTGATGAATCCAATGCCGGATTCTAGATGGTGTTCCAGTCCCCACCAAGAACGAGGTTCTCTTCTTTGGGCAAGAGCATAGGCAGTGTTTCCAAAAACTGGATTTTCTCCCTCATATCGACCGGGGCGTAGACCGACATAAAGGACCAGCGGGATTCACCTATTTTGACGGTTACCCACACCCATCTGCCCAGTGAGTCATTGAGGTAGTCWAGYAGTTCGAAACACAGGTYTCTGCTGAAGAGAATGGCRGTGCCACCCTTGGTACCTTCTGCAGGTGCCMAAAATTGGGGACCTTRCCATTGCCACYTGYTACATTCAATTTTCTCTTCGTCTAACTTAGTCTCTTGGAGCAGGGCYACATGGGTTCTTTTTTKATGTAGCCAGGACTTAAGTCTGKCCCATCTCCTCTTACCATTCTGATCYCCTARGCCTCTGACGTTCCATGAGACTATTTTGATTTTAGTCATTGCTYATACCATCCCCCCTGGACTGGATAAGGGAGAGGTTTGGGGAAGGGAAGAAGGAGATCTTCTCCCCCCCTGTCCCCCCCATCTCAATGTTTGAGCCCCCCGGTGCTGGCTGGCCTATTGAGAGGCTGGATTTTCTTCTTCTATTGTCTCCTCCATTGGTATCGTCCCCCTTTTCCCCCCACTGAGAGGAAAGTGATCTGCTAAAGTAATCTGAGAACAGATTGATATCTTTAGCCAGGAGTCGATTATACTCCACCATGACGTCACCGGAGATTGCTTCCACTGTGTAGACCATATTCGCATGGAGGGACGGTTCATCTTTGGCCCATTCCAGYGGGCACCAATGGGCGTGGCCTTCTTTTAGCACYGCCAATTCCTGCTCTGTTGGTCTGGCATCAAAGGCTGCYAGAAAAATGTGGAGCTTCTTGTTGGACAGGTTGGTTCTGGTTATTCTCCTGGACCCAAGCTTTGGGATGRCTCTCACCGATACYGACTGCCCAATGTAGTTTTTTACTTTTGCAAGCATGAGGCTCTTTGTGGGGTTGCTTTCCACAGAGTAAGGAGTGAGGTGCCTAAGCACAGATTCTTTCTGTACGTTAGGAAAACAATGTCGTCCGCTGTCTGCCTGAAGATTAGTGGGACAAAGTATTTTTTAATGTTCTGAGATCCGGGTATTTCAGATTTGCGGGTGTTTTTCTTTTTTCTTTTTTCATTTTTTACTGACACGATGCTCTCTGAGAAGTCCATTCTTCCTTTTTTATCCTTGGGGTTGCAAGGCTCATCAGCAGAACCAGCTGAGTCCTTCCAATCCTGTGAAGAGTCAGTTTGAGCATCAGAGTCTACCTCTTCACTCTCATTTCCCATATCACAATCCCCATTTTCCGTCTCCTTGTTGGTAGGGAGCGGATCCTGTTCTTTGTTCAGCTCTTCTGCAACTGGTGAAGAGTCCTGACCAGATAGTTTAAACCCAGATTCTGTTACATTCCCCTGCGCCCCATGCCCTCCTCCTACCGCTGGCTCGCTGGTCTTCTGCAAACCGCTGTCGGACGGTGGGGGGGGTAACATAGGCCCAGGGATATCGTTACTGCCCTCTGCCATAGGGGGCTCAGGAGTGCCCCCTCTCAAAGATGCTTCCTGATTTCCTGTTGTTGACAGCACATTCCCTTTTCCCCCCTCCTCTGCCTCCTTCCCTTCCTTGCACCCTCCACCCCCCGAGTCTTCACCGCTGCGGCTTTCCAGACCAGCAGTCTTACCCGATTGATCCTTTGGGCCAGGATGGAGAGTTGTCTGTACTGTCTTCTTCCAGGCAATGGTTTTGGGACCAGGTTTGGAGTTTTTCATGCTCTGATTACCTGATCCAAGGCTTGTAGAGCGTGTAGCCCCTTGGCCTCCTCCTCCCATAAGACTGCCTGATGGGGGGCCAATCTTATCCAATCCGAAAGCTCCTGCCCGTCGACCGTCTTTGCTGGTGATCGTCTGTAGCGAGGTAGGAGCCGAACCCTTTCTTCTTCCCCGCTGCGCCAGTTGATTTCTAGAGGGAGAGGACTGTTCTCTTGTATTTATCTTCAATTCAAACGGGTGGGCATCTGCTGTTTCAGGACAACAATCTGTTGAGTGACCTGCATAGTCCCTACAATTTTGGCAGTAGTCGGTGAACTGAGTAACAATCCTGATCTCGTACAATGATCCGTCAATCTGAGGCCATTGTAGATCATTAGGTACGCGGTTCCTCCTGTCACAAGGAATGTCAAATTTCACATTGTTCAACTTTGGCATATCCTCGTACCTTTCTGGCGGATATTGCTTCAAAACTTTCCCAACTGCAAAATCGATTCCTGACCTGACAAAAGGAACCGCTTTGATCAGCACTCTCAGAGCCATTACCCAAATTTTGCTGATTGATTCCTCTTCCTTTGATTTTTCCAGTTCTTTTTGTGACATCCAGCGTTTGAAACTGAGTTTGTAGACTGCCCCGTCCACCTTCAGTTTGTGAGCGCCCATATTCAACAAAAAATCTACTGTTCTCTTATCCCGAGGGTAGTAAGACATGACGTTCTTCCCCTCTTGATGGACCCTTCCCCTTTCTTTGTGGTGCAGACAAGGCGGAAGGATCGAATCTTCGAGTGCTCTAATACACTGTTYTTTTTTATYTGCAGCYAGGGATTTGAAARCGCCCTGGAAAAAGACTACCACTACGTGTTCTTTCAACCACTCTTCCTGTGCTTTCTCCARTTCCTCCGRSAGCGATATCATAACCGACTTACCTTTCATTTCAAACTTAGCAAATTTTGAGGTGTCTGGTATGACTAGTCTGTCATAGCATTTTTCGAACATCTGCCTGATTTCCTCCACACTCGTTTCAGCRTGTGATGACTGTCCCTCCTTTTTTTCAACTTCCWTTTCCSYATCTCCCTCGTCTGAGTCTTCTCCACTCTCCTCCACTGGCCACCATTTTTGCCTTTCTAGGTGAGCCGACCCTTTCTTAACCGATCCCAGTAGTTGGCGTGTATCCCTCCACTGCTCCACRRGCTTTTTCCCATTCCATTCACCTTCACCCCCTCGCTTCTTCTCTGGTGGTCTRCTAGYCTCCCCACCAYCCTCCTTTTCACCAACCCTAGCCCCTGCCCCRAAGGTGAATGATCGATTTTCATYGATCTTATTCCAAGTTCYCGTCACCAATCCTGCATCTTGCATCCCCACACACGTCATTTCGTCCCTCCCAGCCTCCAATTCCTTTCCTCCACCAACTCGTGTACCCGATTCCACTTGCCTTTCCTTTTCCTTCTGCTGATTTTTCGCCCAGAAAGGTGTGAAAGATCCCCAAACGTGTAAGCCCTTCGAGTTGTCCATATCCCAAGAGTCTGATGTCCTGAAGCCGTCAGATGAAGCTGGGAGTGGGGTGAAATAAACCAATCGTAGTACCACTCTACCGTGAGATCATCAGACATGCACGTTTTCGGTTAGGGGGGGGGGAGGGGGGAAGGGTTTGCCTTTCCCTTTCGGCACGAATAGCGTATGTATATTCGACGAGCTCTGGGGTTTGCTGAGATAGCTGCTCGCTAATCCGTGCGCCTCTGCACAGTATTGCTCCCGAGCTTTATCCGGGATTTACTTCTCACGGTCGGTCCTATTCCTCCCTGAGCATCACGTATAGGCGGGCGCCGTACCTGGCTGCTGAAAAAATTGTCCTTTGAGAGCATCGGGTGGGCCGCCTCATCCTCACTAATGCGTCCGGGTGAAGGTAGTAGGGAATGCCCCACTCTATTTCAGAAAAGCAAAAGGTAGATGAGCGTCCTTAGAATGTTTTCGATACTCACCCGAACGTAATAAAGACCCAGAGGTATATGGGACCCCCTTTCACACAGATACCGGCGCGAATCCCTATGGGCACAGACTAAAGGTCGTGCTACATACTCGAATTTGCCCTGGCTGGGAAGAGAACGGATACAGTCTGCACTTTCCGGCTCTTTCAGGCCGGGTGAAGGAAGACGGGGACGGACCCCCCTTCCTTTCCAGGCAGCGAGGTGAAAGGGAGGATTCCTGGATTTGTTTCAAGTTCCGAGTGAATCTGGTTCGCTGTGTTGTTTTGATTAAGGTCTGCAGGCCCCTTACGACGTGGGGCCCCCTTTCACGCATAAACCGGAGTGAAGTTCTTCGGAGAAAGGATAAAAAAAAAAAAAAAAAAAAAAAAAAAA